TACTGTTTCTCGGTCACCGACCGATCCTTTTTCTCCGGTATTCGAGGTGACTTGCTCTTTCACTGCTTTACCGTCTCTCTTCGGAAACTACATAGGTTTGTGGAGAATTTCAAGCTCTATGTTGTCAACCGAAACAATCGATTATATAGGTACCCAACAAGCGGACCTTTCTTAGCAAATACTGTTTGTCAGTCACCAACCAATCCTTTCTGTCCGGTTTTGGAGGGCGTGGGTGTCGGGGTGAGTGTGTGTGTGTGTGGGTGTGGGTGGGTGTGGGTGTGGGTGTGGGTGTGTGTGCGGTGTGGGTGTGTGGGTGTGGGTGGGTGTGGGTGTGGGTGTGGGGTGTGGGTGTGGGGTGTGGCTGGGTGTGGTTGTGGGTGTGGGTGCGTGTAGGTGTGGATTTGGAGTGTGGGTGGGTGTTGGTGTGGGTGGTCTGGGTGTGGGTGGGTGTAGGTCTGGTTGTGGGTGGGTGTAGGTGTGGGTGTGTGGTGTGTGGTGGGTGTGGGTGTGGGTGGGTGTGGGTGTGGGTGTGGGTGTGGGTGTGAGTGTGGGTGTGGGTGTGGGTGTGTGGGATGTGGTTGTGGGTGTTTGTATTGTGTGGGTATCAGGTATGCGTGTGAGTGTGGGTTGTGGGCATTTGGGATGTGGTTGTGGGTGTGGGTGTTTGTATTGTGTGGGTATCAGGTATGCGTGTGGGTGTGGGTTGTGGGCATTTGGGATGTGGTTGTGGGTGTGGGTGTTTGTATTGTGTGGGTACCAGGTATGCGTGTGTGTGGGTGTTTCAATCCTCTATATCTGCAGCCGAACCCACGCCCACATCCGCCAATCATTAAAAACAATGTCAACTGTTGATGCTTCGAAAGGTGGTACAAGAACAAATAAATGTTGCTTATTTTCAATCGATGATGGATAATAATAGATAATTATTTCGAAATTTGAAAGTATGTCACCATGATCAGGTAAAGTTGAAACGATACATTTGACATTTTTTGAAAAAAATTTCGGTAACCATTGACAATCATGTGCATCAGTTTTCAGTTGATCTATTGAATCAAATAGTATGATCAGATATTCATTTTTAGGTATTTTCAAAAATAAATTTGTTTTGTAATTGATATCGTAATTGAAGAATATCTGAACAGACATCCATCGATAAATTATATAGTTTACAAATTTGTTGAGATATAGAAAGAAGTGTTTTGCGAATTGTTGATGAAGGACGTGTTGTTCTTTGTTAAACATGAAATTAGAATTATAAAGCATAGAAACTAGTGCAAAGATGATTTTACATTAGCACTGTTAGCCACTAGTCGCAACGGAACTACCGTGCTGCAATCTGATTGGCTGAGAGAAA